ATTTGTGTCACTGGTAATTGTTCTTAACTCCATGAGTGTTGCACATGCAATAAAAGAATAGGATATACACCTTTACGTGAAGGAAGCACAGAGTGGCCATTTCTATCCCTTTGGCTGTGCCATTACTTCCAATGCCCCTTTTTGCCTTTGAGGACTAGATCAGGCAACAATAATGGGGGCAGAGATGAGGTCATCAGCCTTTAATTGGCAAGGGCAGACCTGATATGAACTCTGCTGACAATTTACTGCTCCAGATCAAATGGGGATGGGTGGCCAGTTGCATTACAGTGTATAAGATTGCAAAAGTCCCAAATTAACACTGGAAGAGGAGATCTGAAGCAAGATGTTAGCAACCTGCACAAAATCTCATGAGATGAAGAGCTAACACATTCTAATTTTCTTGAAAATTGTGGAGCAGGGTGAGCACACTAAAACATGAGTACACTGGCATCGATGCTGGACCTCTCCAATGAGCAGTATTCATGTCTCAAACCTGCCTTGGAAGTAACGTCCTTTATTTTTTTAAAAAAGAAGTGCCCCCAATTCCAGGTGGAAAGTTGATTGTGGTTAAGCAGACAAAATACTCTGTACGTATTCAGAAGTGCCTTTCATAACAGTTATCTCATACATTCTATAGTTCAGAAAACAGCCAAAATTAAGCTTGAAATGTAGGCTTGTCAGGGGGGTGAGGAAAGCTCATGTCTACTGATGGTCACAATGGCTGATTTCTGGTGGTCCAACCTGGTTGCGAATTCCTCAGCTTGTAGCCCCAATGCATCTTGAGACCACCAAGCTGGGGAAGGCTGGCGTAGAGTTCGCTAGAAAAGAAGATGGAATACTGCATTACTATAACTATCTGGTCTCTTCCAACGAGATACTTCCCCTATTCTTAAAAAGTCCAACTAAGGAGCATTTTTCACACAGAGAAGAAGCTGAACATGAAGTAGGCAAGATCACACTGACCAGGGTCACATCTGTTTCCTGTGACATCATGGGCTCTCTGTCCACTGAAGAGCTAAACGCCCACCTGAACGCACGGAAACTCTCCAAAATGATCCTCACGAGGTGCAAATGCCAACGCCCACACAATATCTATGCCTTTAAGATCTTGTGCCCGTTGCTAGCGGTCAACCTAGATGGATGCCTCAGGTCGCCCTGCTCCACACCCACAGCTGGAGTCAAGGAGGAGAGCCCGGCGCACCCACAGGTGGCTTCCTGGAAGGACGGCAAGGGATGATGGGGCGGGGGGAGGGGAGGGGAGGGCCATCCTGCCGCCTCGTGGCCAAAGGGCAAGCGGACATCTGAGGCCGGGAGCCGCGCACTCACCGATGGTGGTGATGACCGTGATGGCAAAGTAGAACGAGCCGGCGAACCGCCACTGACGGCCGGCTCGATGAGGCTCGGCCCGCAGGACCAGCCGCTCAAACTCTCGGTAGTCTTCGGCCGTGAAGCGGTACTTCCTTCGGAGGTCGCTGCGCTTCTGCTCCAGGAGGCGCTTGTGGCCGATCTCGGCCTCGGACTCGAGCGCATCGAAGACGGCGGCGCCCACCAGCAAATAGGAGAAAACGCAGACGATCAGGGAGACCGTGCGGAGGTTCTGCCGCTTCATGGCGAGCAGGCGGCCGCCCC